AGCACCTAAAAAATGGGGCAAGTTCCTTGCAGTATTGGCAAAGTAATAAGACCACAATTGTATTAATCACATTTTAATGTCTGACATAGTGTATGAACAGTTACTTTTCTAAGATGTAATTTTTCTATGAAACAATGTATGTGCTACTTGTAAGTTGTTGTACTATTGTACTAAGACTCAATAAAAGTTTATTAAATATAAAAAAAGTCCCGTTTTCCGTTAACGTGTGTGTAATACGCCGCGTCCATTCATTCCACTTGCTTATACCGTTGATACTGGATGTGGTTGTAGCGTTTTTCGCTATTTTTGTTCAAAGTGATAACAAAAGAAATAGTTCTATATCCGTGATATCAAAAAATAAAGCTATGCTCCATACTTAGAAGTGCCACGAGCGTAAGCGCTGACGTCAGGTAACCAAGAGAAAATAAACAAAGAATGAGAACTTTATCAACCAATCAGAATGCTGGACGCATTACTAGTTACCAACCTCTTGTGGCTTGGTGCGCCATGACACTTGAGGCGGGAACCAGCCAATTGACTGTGGTGACGGTAGATGGTAGGATGTAAATTTGTTTCGGTTTGGTGAATTATTCAAAAGGTTTAACATAAATATAAATTTGTCTATGAAAAAGGGCATTTGTTACCGACATCTAATGAATATAAAATTCGTACAAACAGAACAATTTCGAATCGATTTCTTGATAATACTCATGGTGAACTTTATTAATTCGCTGCGACGACTGAGCAATGAATGGTAGGTGGTACATCAATAATTATTCACGAGGTGATACCGAATTTGATAAAAAAAAAAAAAAAAACAGCAGCGTGTTATAAAAATGACAGGCAACGTCAGTACCTAACGCCGCTCTCGACGACCTCGGGTTGTGTTAAAAATAGTCATTTATTGTTGCAGTGTACGTAAGACGAGGAGCAACTTGTTAAAAATCAAAATTCCAAATAATCACAAAGTCATCGGCATACATTTTCTATTCATACCCACAATCCACATTGTGACTTCCCCAGTTCATACATCTGAAAGTTATAACTGTCCCCCACTCTCGTGTGGTCGACAACGATAATATCGGTCGGGGGTACACCGTGACCAATACCGTGCACTTCATGTTTGTAATGCTATCATATGATGATGCTAGACCAACGCTAGTGTTACACTAAACCGATTAAAAAACATTCTAACATAAAGTACTAATACCCAATTGATTCCGAATTCATTGACCCGAGGAAAAAAAGACTTTTGCGATAAATATTCCAAGTTGATGAACAATAAATTTCGAGCATGACACGATTGTACCGATTGCACCTACATAATTGTACTAACGAATTTCACATAGCGTGCATTTTCTTCGGTAATAACTCCAAAAGCGATTTCCCACATCTGCAGCAGAACGTAGTGGTTACAAAGTTTGTTTTGATTGATCGTTGCATATATATATTTATATATACGAGTGTGCGTAGGATAACACCACCGGTATTGGCATGGTAAGCAGCAACACAGATTGCGATTGCCACATAAAATCACAAGGCCTGGCGTGTGTACATGGAGAAATCTCACTGAATTCTGAATCTCACTGAAGTCATTCAATTATATTGCATATTAGTCAGTTCAATTGAACTCAGACAATTGGCAGATATTTACTCAGTTTAATCAAACTGCATATAGTAAAAAATAACTTATTTAAATTGGAATTTATGTTTAAAGTAAAGAAACGTTTTTTTATGCTAAACCGAACACGTATTTCCGAAAATTATATTAGAATATTTAGTTATTTCAATCGGTTTCACTTCTATGGTGGAAATTAACTTTCACTAAAGTATTCAGTGAAATAACAATGTACTTCCACCACCCACTCACTCACCAACTCACTGAATATGTAAAACATATTTTTTTCATCGCCCATTTATTTCAATTCAACACATCAGGTTATTTACGACATTCTCGGCCCGTCAATAGAAGGTAGCTGTGTTCAGCATCTACACGCCAATACTGTTTGCATCATTTTCTAAATCTTCTGTGAGCAGTGGAATATACTGTTGTGCACCCTCTGGGTATTTTTCCATAAAATGTGCTTGGATTTCAGCCAGTTCTTCTTCAGCTGCCTGTAGGTCATCCAAAGCCACTGCTACGCCGATAATGACCAACAACAGAATCATTCTTCTCGCTGCCATGTTATTGATAATTCCTGTGTAAATATGTACAATATATATATGAAGTCTCGTGTTCGTAATAGTGTTCCATAGTGTGTTGATATTATGTCTGGAACGCCTATAGAAATGTTATTTTATTCAAATCTTTCATTACTGCATGAAGTGACAATATTTCACGGTGCGTTCAAATTTCACAACTCACGGGCCAAACTTACACCAAAAATCAAGTAATATCGCCTGAAACTCATGACTATGGACACTTGAAATCAAAAATAAAATGTCATGCCGCGCTCAGGTTGTTTTACACAAATATTGTTGCTCTCTACCGTACACATAATTTAGCTAACGTGATGTTTGCGTTATACAATTCAAGTGTATGGTCGCATTAAAAGTATGTGATAGTGATGAGTCATCAGACATAGAATTATTAAATTAAACTAAATATTACTTGCCTTGTAATGCTAGTAATTATTGTCTTCCTGTGACAACGATGATGCTCACTGAATTCAGGATACCTGTATAATGTTCACTAACAGATGTGATATTTTTGAATTCTGTCAATCATACTATATATATATATGAGTGTGCGTAGGATAATACCACCGGTGGTTCTGAGTAATAACATGCTAAGCAATGCAGGCAAGATGGCTACTGCCACGTCACACATACATGTCATGTCGTATGCTGACCGGAAATAGTGATATTAGATGTAAAATCATTCGCGCAGTTATTGTGTATTGCACTTATCGTGTCAGAAAAATATTAATGTTTTGGGGTTCATTCAAGTCTGTTGCCTTCCAAAAAATCTCACCCGAATGTTTGTGGAGGGGGCTTAACGAGGTTTGGTGCATAAATTCAAAAAGTAAAGCCCCAAAAGACCAATCCGGTTGCAATTTATTTCAGAACGTGGCGCAATTATTTGAAGGGAGGGCGAACCTGGTCCAATTGAACACGCGGTACTCTATCACTACCCAAATAAGAATAAATCAGTACACAATAATACTATCAAAATGTACAGTATGGTAAAACAGAACTACAATATTCTGAATGTAACAAGTCTCTCAAAAAAACATGATTCATCCATTCTCGCCTTGGTGCATATTCATTTTGTCGCATCGAATAGCCTCTCAGAACGGTATTCGATTTTAGATAATGTCGTAAATGCGGCTTTTGAAGCATATTCTGCCTCCGTTGCCTTAGATTTGTACTCTTAGGTAGCACTGACCTTAAACGATACGACAGATGGGCGATGTGTTGCTATAGTTAACCAATGGCCACACAAAGGAGAATTGTACAATGCACGGTCATCCAGTGTTGTTTCTATATCTAAGAAGCCACAAGTACTGCCACAACATAAACAAAAAGCGCGCACACACTCTCGCCATCCGCTATCTCTACAACTCATTGAATATGTGGAACATTCATATTTTACTTTTCTATATATTTTAATTCAATCCATTAGGTCCTCTACAACCAAAGGTACATATTTAAACGCTATTATCATTTGCCAGTTCATTTTTTATATCATTTTCGACCAGTGACAAATATTCATCTGCAATTTCTGGGTGATCTACCATTTCTTGTGCTATTTCTCCAATCAAATACTCTTCAGCTGTCAGCTGTTGTTCTTCTAAACTGAAAACAACTGCTATGCCGATAATTGCCAACAAGAGGATCATTCGTCTTGCTGCCATGCTATTGGTAAACGCCTGTGTAAATATATACAATATATACTATTATTATACATCTGTGACCGTAACGCCGTAAGTTACAGCGTGCCGTGATTTTTCGGTATTTTACGGGGTATTTTCAACCTGCCATATAAGATAATACAAATTCCAAATGTTATGATTACGCGCGTAAGCGTCCTCTAATAATAAAAACGAACATAGCTGCCACCAGGGTTTGACTGGACTCCACATAAAGAAGTTCTCTGATTTTGTTCTAAACTTGTTCTAAATATGTATAATAATAATAAGGTTATTACGAGGATACCTCAAAGTATGCACTCAGACAGTACGCCCTCGATACTTCCGTTGTACTGTCTTCGTGCATACTTTGAGGTATTCTCATAATAACCTCATATTATATAGAGAGTGTCCTGTTTGGAGTATTAAATATTATAGTATTTTTTATATTAATTAATATTTAATATTAATCAATTTATATTAATATTTTTCCATAGTATGTTGTTATCATGTATGGAATGCATATAGAATTGCTGTTGTATTCCAATATTTCATGACTGCATTACAATGAGACTTTTCGTCATGCGTTCAAATCTTTCTCAAGTTGTTTTGCACACAATTACTGCTCTTTACCATACAAACACTGCTGCAGACCTGAGATTCGCGTGTTACACTGCTTCATCTGTGGTTTTCACAATTCAAGTGTGTGGTCGGATTCAAAAGAAAGAAAATGAAGATATAGAATTAAACATTACTTGCCTTGTAACTGGTGAATTTCTTTACAATGACAAGCCAACGATGATGCACACTGAATTCAGGATACCTGTATAATTTTCACAAACTGCTGTGATAATTTTGAATTCTGTCAATCATTGTGTATATATATGAGTGTGCGTAGGATAGTATCACTGGTTGTTTGTTTGTTCGTTTCTTCATTCAGCTCACACGCGTATTATATGACGTAGTATTTCGTCGTCGGACACACCTCGACTTCCAAATCATCTATGCTCGTTATTTGAGCTTGTTTACCGAGCAAGAAGACGATTGCCACGTCAGACCAAACGACCTGGTCCATGTGTTCATAGAGAATTTTTGAAAATTAGGAGGTCACAGAATTCAAAGAGTGTAAACGGGCGCAATCAATTTAAGGGAAATTAATTCCCCCTTCTCTAAAAATTATATGACAACACACGCATTATACCAGGTCACTATCCACATTTTAACGAATTAAATGTCTATATATTAGTCATTATGCTATGGGGCTCTAGCAATAGGTGAGTTATGCCGAATACTGAATTAGTTAGCTGTGTCGCCAATAATAGTAACGTTGCCATCACTTACCCATCACACGAACTCCGTGAGAGTCGCGTTTCAAGTTGTTATTGGAGGACAATGAACATATTTTGGTCCAGCCTTCAGAAATGGTCATAATAATACATTGCATAGAGACGAAAATCGATGAAAGTCGCTGGGGTTGTTCCGGACAACCATGGTCTAAAATTTACTTATGTGAATAATGAATAATTTTGTATTGTCTAATCTGGAACAGGGTAAAAAAAAAAAAAAATCCTCATTAGTGATGTACCGAAAACCTCACGAATAGGGAGCCAATGTTCAACTCAGTCTCGCAAAAGAAGTTATATTTTGAATCTCGTATCCACTTAAGCTATTTTAGAAGAAAAAAACAATCAAATCAAAACATTTTAAAATTAATTAATGCTGTAATAAGTTATTAAACGTGTATTGTATCTGACAGGATGAATTATATGTTCCATTATCGTCATGAGAGGGTACATTGATTGGAACACAAAGGATGGTTGACTGACCGTATGTCATTTTTTTTTTTCAAATCTCTTTGTCCCCAGGAATAGCAGGGGAACCCTAGTCGTAGGTTGCAGATTTATTTGGGTCTATTGCCCTTCCCCTAATAAGATCTCTCCCTGGTTATGGTTATTAGAATACGAATTCTGATAAGCGTTCAACTGTTTTACATTAGTTGGGAAGCATTGCTAATTAATTGACGTGTCCTGGCGAACGCGTTACGTCGATGACAAATCTAAAATAAATATAATGCTACAGTTGAAATTGTTCCTTTCAATATGCTGTCAGAATGGAATTCGATAGATAATGTAGTAAATGCGGCTTTAAAGCAGAGGCTGCTCTTGGTGTCATTATATTGTACACGGAGAAATCATTGACCTTAGATGAACGAGGACAGAATGCAACGTGGTGCTATAATAAACCAGCTGCTACAAAATGGAGGGCTACTAGTTAGACGTAGGTTAGTAAATTATACAACACATCGTCTTCCAGTGACGCTAGTCTTTCTAAGTTGGTCAGAAATTACTGCCACAACATAACAAATGCGGGTACACACACCCACACACACCCACACACAATAACTTCACTTTTCATGTACGCCTAAGCCAACCCCTCCCAAAGCTAGCTCATCGATTAACTGTGAAACATTATTTTTTTGTTCTTCTATTTATTTATTTAATTCAATACATCAGCAGATTATCTACAACATTTTATACCTGTCAATCAAAAGTAGTTGTGTTTAGCCTCTACCAGTCATTATTTGCCTCAGCATTCTCCACATCGTCTTCGAGCTCTGACAAGAATTGTCCTGAAATTATTGGATAATTTTCCATAAATTTTGCGTCGTCTTCAGCAAATTCCACTTCAGCTGCATGAAGGTCAATTGAGGCCGCTGCTATGCTGATAATTGCCAACAACAGAATATAATTCGTTTTGCTGCCATGCTATTAAAAAAACCTGTGTAAATATGTGTAATGTTTCAATACTTAAATATTATAATCATGTTTTTGTAATATTGTTCCATTATGTGTTGTTATCATGCTTCGAGTGCCGAGGAAATTGCTATTTTTAAAAAATTATTTACGTGAAGTGGCTTTTCGCCATGAGCTCAAATGCCATATCTCTCAGACGATTCTTATTTAAGGTTATTACTCAATGATCTAGCAACATTGCCCGGTACTCATGACTGCTCATGTTGTTTTTCACAAAATGTCTGCTCTTTACCCTACAAAAACTGCCACAGCCAGATTCAAGTGTATGATTCCATTCAAAGAATGTGAAAATTATTATGTATAATTAGTAAATAAAACTAAAAATTACTTGCCTTGGTAATGCTGGTAATAGTTTTTTGTGACAAGCGAACGATGATGCACACTGGATTCAGGATACCTGTGTAATGTTCACAAACTGCTGTGATATTCTTGAATTCTGTCAATCAATGTATATATAAATGTGCGTAGGATAATACCACCAGTTGTTAGTTTGTTTGTTTTTTCATTTATTTAGTTTCGTCTCTGCTAGATATTTGGGCATGATTTAGTTGTGTTCATTTAGTTTTCCAAGCAAGAACTGGCTTGCTAACTAGTGCAACCAAAGTGGCGATTGCCATATCACACCAATGGGCCTGGGCCATGTGTTCATGGAAAGATCTCGATTATTTTGTAATTATGGAGGTCCCTGAGGTCAAGGAGGGTAAAGCCTCATTTATTTTGAGCTTTCTGTGTATAGTTACTCATGTCTTTATCTTAATTGTATATAGTTTCTTTACATTCACATCATTTCTGCTAGTTTTTTTAGTGTGTTCGTTTTTTTTACCAAGTGAATGCTGAATTTTTAACTATACAACCAGGATGGCTACTGCCTCGTCACACAGGCCAACTATATGCTGAATAATATTTATATTAGATGTAAATTAATCCAAGTTGTTATTTTGTATTGCAATTTCCGTGTCAATGATTTTTGTTTTATTCATGTCTGTTACCTCCCCAAAAGTCTGACCCGATGTTCGTGGAGAGATCTGAAATATATTTGGGGTCCCTGAATTCAAAGAGTGTGAAAGCCCAAAAGACCAAGTTAAAATTAATATATCACAGAACGTAGCGAAAACATTTGAAGAGAGACTGATCCCGCTTCTATAGATCACGTGGTATTCAGGTAATAATAGATTGTAGGTTTAGGTATTTAGAAATTGCCAAACTATTCCACCTGCTGGGAATCTTGGGTGGTTAATCAAAGCGTACATTCAAAATCCCTGCTTTGAAAACAAATCCGACACATTTGTCACATTGACAATGCTTTTTACGTTGACTCTGCTCCCGTTGTCTTTGATTTTGTACTCTTAGGTAGCTTTGACCTGAGATAAACGACAGATGGGTGACGTGTTGCTTTAGTAAACCAATGACCACACAAAGGAGGGCTAATATTGGGGCATGGGTCTGACAATTATGCAACGCACGGTCATCCATTCTCTATCTAATATGCCTAGAAATTACTACCACAACATAAAAACAATGTGCGCGTGTACACCCATGCGCTCACACCTTGGTTGATCTGATAAGTGGAGTCATTCAATTTTTTTGCAGTTTAATTGAACTCAAATAATTTGCAGATATTTACACAGTTTTATCAAACTGCATATCGTAAAATTAACTTAAATTTAAATTTATTATTTAAGTCAGGAAATATTTATGCATGCTAAACCAAATACCAAGATACGTATCTCTTAAAATTATATTATATTCAAAAAATTATTGCGTCTATTTATTGTATTCATTCAAATAAGTCAACTTTTATGTACGTCCACCAACCGCTCACTCATTCACCAACTCACTAAATATGTGAAACAATAATATATTTCATTTCCATTTATTTTATTTCAACGCTTCAGGGTATCTAAGACATTCTCTGCCAGTCATTGGAAGGTAGTTGTATTCAGCATCTACGCACCATTAACATTTGCATCATTTTCTAAAATATTTTCGACCTCTGACCAATATTCTTCTGCAACATTTGGGTGATGTTCCATCAATGTCCCTTGTTCCTCGGCCCAAAACGCTATAGCTTCCTGTAGGTCTTCTAAGGCCACAGCTATGCCGATAATTGCTAACAACAGAATCAGTCGTCTTGCTGCCATGTTATTGATGAACCCTGTGTAAATATGTACAATATATAGAAAGTGTCATGTTTTTTATTTATATTATTATATAGTCAGGTTTATGAAACATTGTTCCATAGTGCGTTGTTATTATGTCTGAAACGCATATAGGATGGCTATTTTATTCAAATAATTCATGACTGCACGAAGTGAGTACCTATGCCACAACTCCTGGGCTATATTTATTAAATGCTATTACACAAAAATCTCCTGGTAATCGTGGCTATGATAAATTGAAAATGTCACGTCGCGCTCATGTTCTTTTACACACAAATGCTAATTTTTACAAGATAAAAGCTGCAGAACAGATGTTTGCGTGTTACAGTTCTCAATCTGCGCGTAACAGTTCTCAATCTCTTTTTTGTCACAATGTATGTATGGCCACATTCAAAGAAAGTGAAAGTGATCACATAGCATTATTATATAAACTAAATATTACTTGCCTTGCTGATTGTTTTTCTGTGACGAAACAATGATAATGCACACTGAATTCAGGATACCTGTATATTGTTCACAAACTGATGTGGTATTTTTTTTGAGTTCTGTCAATCATTATATGTATATGAATGTGCGTAGGATGATACCGCCGGTTGCCAGTTTGTTTGTTCGTGTATTCGTTTCTTCATACAAAGCGTATACATATGTCATTTCGTCGTTCATTTCGTTTTTGAACTACGTTGCTAAGCTGTGCAACCACGATTGTGATTACCATGAGAGATTTAAAAGTGATTCTTTTGTAATTTAGGAGGTCGCTTTGCAAGAGATTGGCACGTTAATTTATATCAACAAAAATAAGTTTAAAGATGTTATTGTATGTTTCAGTTTATTAATTTGAATTAAGTTTTGAAGGTCACAATTATTTGATCACGAAAGGTTTGAAGTTCAGTAAAAACATGATTATTCTTTACAAAAAACTATATATGTATATCGTTTTAAAAAAAATACACACAAACATGACTTATTGATGGTTGTAGTCACTTGATCATGTGTTTTTTATGCATGTTACGATTACTGTGCAATCGTGCAAAGTGCTTGCTCGCAAAATTTGATATATATTGCATGTAGTCTAGTAGTGCAAAAATGATTACTATTAAAGTTTATAAAGTAGTGTTCTCATCTGATCGATTATTGGGCGACTGCTGTTATATTGTTGCGACATGAAACTGTATTATGCCATACCTAGGACGTACATACGCTTTTGTTTATTTTTAAACATGAAAAACTGAGAATTGGTGAAGAAGAGTGAAGAGGTTCTCAGCAGCACGAAGGTCTGACATAAAGCAGGTGGGGTCATCAGCATACGCAGAATGTTTTATTTCAAAACCACCAATATTAATCCCCCTGATTCCATTGTCATATTGCAGCTTTATCAAAAGTGTTTCTAAAGACAGGATGAAAAAAATGGGCGATAGGGGATCCCCCTGTCTGACTCCCCTAGAAAGGGAAAATAACCTGTTGACTGTCCACTATTCATCACACAACCAGATGGATTTAAATAAAAGGCCTGTAACCAACCTAACAAAGAGGGACCAAAGTTGAATTTACGTAGACAACTGAACATAAAATCCCATTCAAGACTATCAAAGATTTTTTGGAAATCAATAGTTAAAAGCACCCCATATTTTTCATAATTTTTTGTGTATTCATAATTCCCTCAATGACACGAACACAGTCACCTATTGATCTATTCTTAATAAATGCTGTTTGACCTTCATTGATTAATTTATCCATATTTTTTACAATGTTTAAAACCATACTATATTGTTAAAAAATCATACCACGACAACCAACTCAAATACTAGGCACTTTTCCAGTTGAACAACGGCCATGAACCCTGTCACGAGGTCAAACAGCTGATATATCAGGTGACTTCGTGCGTCAGTAGGCACTGTTGTAGGACGAATAGACAAGATTAATATACCCCAACGTATAAACGAAAAATGACTGCAAAAGTAGACAAGCCAGATGTGAAGTACACCCAGGTGAAGTATCTATGTTTTGTTCCTCAGAATGAGAATGAAAGAAGCGTTTATATGAACAACAATACGGTCAAATCTAGTATCATCTCCGCCACTACAGCCGAGGTTGGGTTATTCTGCCACTATGCGGGAAAGTGTCAGTGTTTACATCGACGTGTGACAATTTCCGCTTACAACTCCTGTTTTAATCCTATTCAGAACGTGCAGATAGTTTGACATTTGTTATCAGTCAGCTAAAATGCTAAATCAATAGGATAAACAGCCAATGTCGATGATGGTGATGGCTGTTCCGTCTCTGGACTCCTTCCCTATTGCTTTTTTATTTTCTCGCTTGTTGACACCTGTCAAGCTATAAACGGGATACATTCAGTTGGAAGAAACATATCCTTTGAAGAAAGACCGACCAACATTGAGAATTTATTATTCTGAAGAAAGGCTTAAGTGACAATCCATCGAAACAGACTATCTTTGGAAGTTGTAACCTCTACGTCCTACTTTGGGGGTTATTACCTTAGATAATTTACGACATATTTAAATTTCGTTTCAACCCGAAGTTACAATCAACTTTGCATATTTATCGCAAAGCTATTTTTTTCATTCGGGTCAATGAATCCAGAATAGGGTATTAGTAAGTTATTTTAGAATGATTTGTATTTTGTTTCGTGTGATAGTTGGTCTATCATTATCATATAATACAGTGTACCCCTTAACACTCGTCTCATTGTTATCGCTATCGCCCAGGACGACAGATTCTTTCCATGAGATGAAATCATCTCATTTAGGGGTGTATCTTCAATGGGTGAAGTGATTTTAAAAACATAACAAGCTGTTCATCGTATTGCGCACACCGCAATAACTTAGTATTACTTTTCAACACATACCTCCAGTCGAGAGGGCGTCGTTAGGTACTGGGGCTGCAGGAGATGTTGTTAGACACTGATTTTTAAATAAGCGGGTGTGTCTGCAGCTCACTTGTAATGCATATAACTCGCCGCTGCTCTATTTATTTATTTTATTCGGTAGAGCCACCAAAATAAATATGTTGAATAACATCTACCATTCATAGTTAAGTCGTCGGAGCGAATCAATAAAAGTTCACCACGAGTATTATAAAGTGCAATTCGAAATTGTTGTTAGGTTTTTAATGAAGTTCAATTTTTTTAATCGCCGGTAATAAATGACATTTATTTATAGGCAAATTATTTTTATCATTCCAACCTCTCAAATAATCCGTCGAATTTAAAGCGGGGGGGGGGGGTGTGCTTCATCTACGTATGCGCAAAAACAGCCACAGCGTGTCGCTGTTTACAAACATATCCCTTTGTGTTTTTAGTCTGCGTTGTTATCGTCGCCCAGGACTCGTGCCCAAGTTACGACCCCTCCGATTTAAACAAGATTCCCATCCTACCGTCTCCAGGCACAACAGTAAATTGTGTACTTTCGATGCCAGCTTTCAGTGATCTGTATAAAAAACCTCCCTGTAATCAAAACATCTTAATCAGTACTTTGCACGTAACCCCGGAATAAAATTAACAGTTTTCAAATTAACAGGGAGTAGTAAATCACAGTATTGGAAGAGCTGTTCATGCGTTGACCAAATAACATGAGAGTTCATAAATAACTGCGAAATATTTTCTGTTACACTTAAAGCGGAGGGGTCGTCACCTGCGCGCACATGATTTGAGTCCGACGATTACTGCGCACGCTAAAAACGCAAAGGCTCATGTGTAGACGTTTGTTTGTGAACAACGATACGCTATGGCCGCCTGCATATCAAGGGTATGGTGGTCTAGACATTCCTTTGCAAGATAACAATGGAAAATAAAAATTTGCAAACATTTATTTGCTATTAGAACACAATTACATTTGGAGGGCGCAACACACGCGACCTCGTCAGGCTAACAATTACAGTGCTTCAATGATACATATACTAGTACATGTACTCATTGTACAAGGTAAATAATAGTTACATAATTTAATGTAAATGTAATATAACTGTAAACGTGTTACAATTAATTTGCATAACAATACGTTTAAAACAATTTCGGGATTTCTCTTGTTTATCTTATATTAAGCATAAATGTGTCCTCCAATTTAAATATTTAATGTGAGCTTTAAAGGTTGCCATGCACAATTCTGAATTAATATTACTACTTGACCATCATTAGTCTGTCTGTTTTGGTATTTTTGTTATTTATTGTGTTTTTCAGATTTTCATAAATAATGAATTTGTGAATTCTGTTAGTGGCAAGACATTTGCAGTTTTAAATCCAACCAATGAAGAAAAGATATGTGATGTACAGGAAGGCGATAAAGTGAGTGAACCAACATTATCAAAACAATAATCAAGCATTGTGGTAGCTTGTTCTAGTTCTTGTCAACGAATTAAATTGCCGAAGTATAACGATAATATTGGGCTAATAGGATGGAAATATTTTATTTTTTATTTTTAATTTTCAATTACACTAATATGTATTCTACAATGACACAGTGGAAATCAATTACGTAATCCTATCAACTATAATAAGTGTCGAATTGCTCCATGGCTAACTATATATTGTTTGAGTCGAACCAAAGACAATGTTAGAGTCGATTGTCAAACCACAGTCCCTCTATCACCGGTCTGGAAATATCTAGCGTTCTTTTGTCTCGAACCGCGTTGTGGGTAAACAAACCGTCCTCTACCGGTCAACAAATTACGATACCGTCAGAATATTCATTAAAATCGGTAAATTTACCGTCATGCAAAGCGATATCTTATTGTATGACGTCACTTTGACCTTATATTACAGGCAACTACAACGTAAACAAAACAAGTAAGCAAAATTAGCAATATGAAAATTTTTGAACTCCTATACGTACCAAAACGAGCCTACCAACTCATAAACATCTAGTTTCTGCCATGTATAGATTAATATCGGGAATTATGTTCATCTTCTAGTTTCTAGGGAAAAACGGCGTGTACCAACATGCTGACATTCCTAAACAAATCTTGTCAAAATGGTTGTCGATGTGGTCGAACGAAATACCTGTGATATTTCTGATTCTTGGGGGTTCATAACTATTCAAGTAAACTATGCAATAACTAATGACTTTATTCGATACACCAGTATAAAACAATTTTTGTTTTTGATTTTGTTTAGCAGTGAATAGCGTATCAAAACGTCGTCGAAAAAAGCATCAATAAAAATCGCCAAATTAGACATTAATAAAATGCGGTTTGGCAAAAACAAATCAGCCCACCAATTTTTAATGATATGTTTCGATCATAAAATGTCAAAATCGAAGACAAATATTGGTCAAACACGAAAAATTTCTGGGTATGACAATTTGTTACGAAAATGTGCTGGTAAATTAGATAAATTAAAGAACTACTCGCCGGCTAAAATATGACCATATACAGATGTGAAAAATAGTGACCGACTGTGTACTGATCACTTGACAATACTTTGCGCATACCAGCAGCACGCCTTTGCCAGGGAAGGAGGCCAATTCACACCTAATACAATGACCGTTTTCAGACCGGGGATAGAAGGACTGTGGTCAAACACTGTGAATATTATTATCGTAAAAATAATCACGTATGTAACACGTATTCTACATTACGTTACTCTATCTCAGGCTGATATAGACCTTGCAGTGAACGCGGCAAAAGAAGCATTTAAACTTGGTTCACCGTGGCGTACAATGGATGCATCAGCAAGAGGAAGGCTACTGTACAAATTATCTGATCTGGTTGAAAGGGACGCTGAGTATTTGGGAGTAAGTTTTATACAACTTATTTAAATCATATTCTTTAAGAATCGGTTTTGGGTGTAATCTGAAAAAAAAAAAATTTCTCATTTTTAACCAGAAAATGGTCACTCTGGAAAACGGTAAGCAATACATGGCAGCATTAGGAGAAGTTATTGGATCATCGAAGGTATGCCGTTACTTCGCAGGATATGCTGATAAAATTCATGGAAAGACAATTCCAATAGGCAAGTAATATTATCTGCCCTGATAAGTGAATTATAATGTATCAAGTAAGAACAAACAAACAAATGTTCAGATTATAGGTGGACAATTGGGCGACTTATTAGTTACAAACTTTGTCCTTTATAGATGGGCCTTTCTTCTGCTATACCCGACATGAGCCAGTTGGTGTGTGTGGTCAGATCATTCCTTGGAACTCACCCGTTTATTTACTCTTCATGAAGATTGGCGCAGCACTGTGCTGTGGGTGCACGTGTGTTGTGAAAACAGCTGAACAGACTCCGTTGAGTGCAATCTACTGTGCATCGTTGATCAAGGAGGTGAGTGATATGTTTTATGCCCATGTGTTTCATATCTTCCACATGGTATTATATCATAATTATACTCTGTATTATACTTATCCCTAGGCCGGATTCCCTGCAGGAGTTGTCAACATTGTATCTGGGTATGGTCCCACTGCAGGGCGTGCTCTTGCCGAACATATGGATGTTGATAAAATTGCATTCACTGGATCTACTGAGGTGTGTAACAGGTCATAGTGTTTTACTGTCAATGATATGTTAATGCAGTATGCAGGCATGTATAAATGCAATATATATTGTTCCAAACACGTATAATTGTATAACTTTTAGTGTGAACCTTTAAGTTTAGACACGTGAGTTCATGCATCTAAAAGTTCACCTCCAGAATCTCTGCTTTCTACTATGATAGGTAGGAAAAATTATCCAAGCAGCGTCTGCAAGATCTAATCTGAAAAGAGTTACATTGGAACTTGGAGGCAAAAGTCCAAACATCGTATTCTCCGACGCTGATGGTAAGAACATTGACTTAACATCTAGATAATACACTACTGTTGTTTTATTTAGGAATATATATTTGCATATTGTACTGATGCTAAGTAAAAGTGATATCAAAATATATTTCGCTGATTTTTCAGTTATTTGTGATATGTTTTTTCGAAATTATGTTTGCAGTGGAAGTTTCTGTAGAGGCTTCGCATCAGTCTCTATTCAGAAACGTTGGACAGGTGTGCTGTGCTGCCACGCGTACTTTTGTACATGAAGACATCTATGATGAGTTCGTAAGGAAAAGTGTAGCTCGGGCAAAAAAACGTGTAATTGGGGATCCTTACGATGAAAAGACTGAGTCTGGTCCACAGGTATATTAATTGAATTCTCCTCGCCAAACTAAAGGTGATCAATACACTAAGTTTAGTTTGTAAACATGTTATCAGTCACTAGGCATTGAGCCAATGACACATAGCCGTTCCCTGGGCCAATACATAGAACTTGCCTAATGGGGACGTGCACCTAAATTTGGCCTCGTTTTTTGGATTTTAGATATAAGTATCTGTCTTATTTCTGGTTAAGATAGGTATAAATATTGGTAATTTTTTTCCGATTTGGTATACTTTTGCTCATTCTATGAGCGAATATCTCTACCTCAGATTCCGGCCTCAGATCCATATATACATCAACCCGGAAATTAAACAAGGCAATCAACATTACACGGAGATTTAACACGGAATGGAAGACGGCGCACATTCCTCAGTGAAACCAGTTAGCTTACATGTGCTTCTATTGGAGATGATCTTCTAATAGAGCAAACTAATACGGTAACTGTTTTATTTGGAATAAACAATGATGACAGAAATGATACTTTGGTATAAATATGGGTATAGATTTTGCTACTATCCAGGTCTAAAAATGGTCACACTTTTGAGCACTCAGGGGCACCTCCCTACCCAGCTATTTATCAACTGCCCCCCCCCCCGCAGGAGCCGTTCTGCTAATCACATCATAGCACAATATTATTGAACTCTAAATGACATTGTGCCTTAGTTAAACGTGTTTATGTATTCTAGGTTAGCAAAGTTCAACTTGAAAGAGTTCTTGAGCTAATAGAAAGTGGGAAGAAAGAAGGTGCTGTATTACAATGCGGAGGTGGTCGTCATGGTGACAAAGGCTATTTTGTTGAGAGCACAGTGTTTTCAAATGTTGAAGATAACATGCGTATTGCTAAAGAAGAGGTAAATACTCTCATGTTTCATTGTCAAGTATCAACTTAGAAATGTAGAGATGATATTTCTGGATGGGGCATTATTTCAGGTGAAATAATTGATTTATATGTGTGAGTTTAGTTGTTGTTAAAGTATATAGGCGAATACAGTGGACAAGAATACAAGTCGACCATTTTGCATCAAGATGTCGCTTACATATTTCACATCACATTTATCAGTTTCTACTGCCCGGGTAAACCAGACTTATCATATAGATGTTATTTCGGTAACAATATTGTTTAAAAGAGAATTAGTTAAAGAATAGAGGAACCCGAGTACAATAATAGGGAGTAAATTAAAGTGACCCCGTCCATCAATATGGTTATATACATTGTTGTATTGTAGATATTTGGACCAGTCATGCAGTTGATGAAGTTTAAGACGATCGATGAAGTAATTGAAAGAGCCAATGCAACAACATATGGACTAGGAGCATATGTGTTCACCAAGGATATCGATAAAGCACTGACAATTGCCAATTCCATTCAAGCAGGAACCGTATGGTAAGAGTAGAAATATTGTTCAATTAAGGAAATTACAATCGAGAATATTTCCTTTTATGATAAAGAATATACAACTTTTCAATCGTCCATTCACAGGGTTAACTCGGGAACGGTTCTCCAACCTCAGAGTCCATTTGGTGGTTTCAAGATGTCAGGAATAGGAAGAGAATTGTAAGTTTGTGCATGGTTTTGGTTCTTACGTAGAATGTTGGGTTTGAGTAATGGATATGCTAGATATATTGGATAACAGGTGGCTAGTGGCTTGTTTCTGAAAATGAAACCTTTCAACTTAATTTTATTTGGTTTTCAGTAATTACGACAAATGCTTTTGGTATTTGGACGATTGAATGTCGAGTTAACCTGAGTGCTTAAACAGATTTCAGTAGCAATTTGTAATGGTCCCTTTGAATAATACTCGTTATGAAGCCGTATATGGTAGATTAGTAATTCGCCGTTTGTTGAACCTTGATCACGATCGATTTGGTCAGCTTATTAGTAATTTCTGCAGTACACAACATATTTTGCCATAAGCAAAACTGAAGATAATTTGACTTGTAGGTCGGGCTCACCTGATCACTGGACACTTCTTAAAAACTAATACTACCTTTCTGTTTTTATAGGGGAGAGAGTGCCCTGGATGAGTATACTGAGATTAAAACTGTGAGTATTAGTTTATTAAGTTAGGTTTAGTGGGAAATGTAACGTTACATTGTTTTAGTGAGCAACCACGCTGCTGTGGCTCATGAGATAGAAGTATATAAAAAAGTTTCATTAACTGTGTATGTAATCAAGAGCGACCACACATATATTTTGGCGTGATGATCTAAATTTGAGTGTTGAATGTATACTAAAAGGTGATGTCTCTGAATTTGTTTTGCAGGTCACAATTAAACTTCCGTATAAATGACGAGGAGCATATCACATTATGAAACACATATCATTGGACATTAAACATTAATTACAGTCCAATTATGACTTTCGAAGTCGGACAATCGCTATTCTATGTAATTAATAATTGTTTGTATCTTGTAATAAATCAATCAAAGTGAGACATTGCTTGGCATTGGTTTGGTTAATGTAAAATTACTTTGTTTTTATTTTCTCGTGTCATTACAATGCAAATGTATTGTTGCTAATCAATCTTCAATTATGGCATAATTCGCCCGTTAGTTTTCAAGACGTATAGATTAGGGACTTTCCCCATTTTAAAGGTATTTCTAGCGCGTAGAACTATATAGTTTAAGTTCAATTTGACTGATGCTCCTTCAGCTTAATTTTGTTGTGGTTATAAATATTTTTCATATTTGTGTGTTTCAAAAATATTGCTTTGGGATATAAAGTTATTCATAATTAATGCACTCTGTTTAAAGAAATTATCTGTTAACTCACTCAGTGTTTAGACCAATAAGACTCTGTTATTTCAGTGAGTCTGTATTGATCTCAGTAAGGAAGATTATGAACATTCGACGCACCTAGATGTTGGCGTGGTTTGTGGTGATGACATCCTTAGAGTGTATTTTCTGCGTGCTGTACATAAACTAAATGATATATTGTTAGTTATTACATTCCACCTGATAAATTTTCATCCAATCAGCGATCCTTCTCAATTGTTTTTTTTTATATAACGCTGTCGTTGTGGTGTTTAGATTAAAGCATACCAAGATAATTAAATTAAAGACAGCATAATATATTTCCTATTGTAAACAATTCTTTTACAATAGTAAAGGTGTAGTAGAGATTTTCAGGAAGTAAAATATTCTTGACAATATGTTCTGCAGTAGGACTGGTCAATGATTAATATATAAATATTTTTCTGATATTAGAACAAATCAACCATGTTTAAATTTGCTACAATTTGTATGTGTTTTTTTTAAATATGGGTGCAACTGTCTCAAATCTACTACGTTGGTGTCACATGATTTAAAGGACAATAAGAAAAGTAGATTTATAAGGATTTGAAAATACAATGCTTTGTCACGGAATTATGGCCCATGAATAAGGGTGTTAACTTGTTATGAATCACAGGGCTGGTAACACTCCCCTGTGAACATTTAAAAGAAAAACGTTTTTTCTTTTAAACCAGTCGGACGTCCAGCATTTAGTCTGTCACATGACGCTTATGTACACAAATGACTTAGTTTACACAAAATGTTCAATATACGGTGAATTAAGTTTTTGAACGAAATAACAGACAGAGAATTCTTTATTCAAAAATACCAATAACACCCTTCTTTAAGCAAGCCATGATCTTTTTTATAAAAATTTAGATGTAACCATGGAATCCATAAATTATAAAAAGTTCATTTTGATTAACACGTGACAAAAATCTGTACTACATTCTCAATATTAATTTACGAAGTGCATTCACAATATAATATATGCAACCGTAAGTTATTTTCTATAGGCGGATTATGTTGTCTATATATACTAATAAAAAACTCTCATAACGTTGGTCTTGATTCCATGAATAACACTTTCATGTTCAATCGAATGAATGGTCTGCAAATAGGATAATAATATTATTTTGAGATTTGGATTGAAATACATGGCCAAACACTATTAATTTCTATAAATCGCGCCCTCTAGGGTTGCTTCTGTGACGTAACAATTACGTATATGAATAAGAGCAATGTCCTTCCAATTAGATCACTGCTTTTGGTTGTGTAGTTTTTTGACATCTAGAATATAGTAAAATCTCTCAAAAATTATCGCCATTGATGGAATATTGAGGCTTTGAACGGCCTTCGTGTCACCGATTTACGCCAGAAGCGTTTTGTCACTAGAGGGCGCGATTGATAGGAAAGTGTATTCATAATTGTATGTTATATTACAAACCAGTATATCGGGAGACTGAATAGTGTGTTTGTTATACATGTATGTACTTTTGGAGTCTGCAGACGCCAATAATACATGGAGTATTGTCTTTGTGTTATTTACTGTCATATCTCATTTGACAGCGCTTTCAACTTCGGGCGCTTTATATAGATTGCTGTTCAACTTCAAGCAAACAATTGAACCATAAACAACATACAATGCAAGTCCATGGCCAATGACAGCCAAGTGTATTTCTAACATTTTAATATTTTGTTTTTTTGCGTAATTTTAATTGATCAGATCATCATGTTGACGAAGTGTGAGTACTGGAAACATTGTTGATTGCAATTGCCTTTGAACTATTATAGTTTTTCCTTTATCCCGCGGCCGCGGACTCAATATGAAAATAACTGGCAGTATTCCCAAGCGTGTCAATAAAATGAACAGTCTCAAATTGAAAAAAAGATTTTGATTTTCGTTGTTCATTTTAAAATCTTACTTTTGAAAGGGCGATGTTGCCGCCACAGGCATAACTTTGAGAACTACAGTTGAACTTTAAATTGTGATTATTAACCGAAACCAAAAATTCTAGATTCTAGAAATTGTTAGAAATTCTAGCATTTCGAAAGTCACCACGCGGAAATATGTTTACTCTCCTCCGCTAAAAAACATGAATAAACCTCAATTTGGCTCAATTGATAGATGTAGGTACTCTAGTTTGATATTTTGATGTTTATTGTAAGTATTTATGTCAATTTCGATAAACTCACCTGTCATATGCATTCTTTGGTCCCTGGGCATTTTCTTTTTTGGCATTGGCCACATACATGGTATTGCCGGACAGGTCATACACACAGATGAGTAGATCACCAGTTTGTACAATAGACACGATATCCCGTATAGTATTTACCGCTGTTATGTTACCATGGTAGGTCTGAAGTTGACGACCAAGAACCGAGCTGTAATCAGGGTCTAACCAATCCATTCCTGTAACACATTGTGTAGTATTTCATGTATGTAATGAGATGAGGTACACCAATCATACACTATTGTTGCGAAAGTCGCATGTTGATGTAGTCTGTTTGGCTAAAATGTCCGTTTTAGAGTCAGTGAATGAACATAACACACCACTGCGCGGCACGACGTGACGCGACACGGCAAAGGACAGCACAACGGAACACATCACGCATATACGTACACATAGTACACATTGACCTACCCCAGTATACAACGTTTTCAATCTTTGGATGCCAGTCACCATTTGGTCTCAAGTTCATGTCGTCGAAGAAATTTGCAACTCCCGCTGAATATTGAATCCCCCGAAATGTGTTGAGCTGAAAAGTGCATTCAACCAGCAGTTGAATATTAAATGATCACTGAGACAATACGAAAAATACAAATACACAAGATATAAACGATTTCCCATAATATTAACATAATAATAATATTGGATGTCACTGTAAATACAAGTGTTTGTACGTCTTACCTTGGCATCACCTACTCCAAGAATCAGATTACATGTTCTACGTGCATTGGCAATGCGGTTTATAGAATCGTCCAAGGTATTGTCAAATTGCAGAATATCTCGAAGTATATACTGAAAAGGGGAAATAACAAGTAAGTGAAATATTGGTCATTACCTACACGTACATAATGGTTAGTAATATTATTATAATGACAATTGTTTTTTTCTTGATAATACTAGTTGATCGGTAGACTAAATTACCGTAAATGGGTAACCAAATCTGGATTCTTTCACAAATGTATCATCTGGATAGGAGACACCAATTTCACTGATTGCCATTTGCTTGGATGACATTCCTAAAAAAATACAATGAATGGAGTTGTTGAGTGCTATGGGTATTCCATTAGACACACACTTTATGGTTACCAATACGAACAATACTGACACACCAGTAATTCGTGGAGAAGTATGTTAGTGTCGCATTTAATTCCCCTTGGCTCAAATGCCGTGATTTGGATTTCGATATGCTATTGTATAGTATACGTTTACACAATTCTACATATTCAGGAACTGTAATTTGTTTTATTTTTGCGAAATAAGCAAACACACCTTGTATGGAACCAATCCATCCCGTCCACCCCACATTGGCAAATGTGTGACCGTTATTACTATTGGTTTCGTCGATATGATAAACTGTAATTTGCGGATGGTTTTGAAATGGGCCTGCAATAAAGAATATCGTATCGTTGTCGGTTCCTTTAACGTTCAAAGGTTTAAAATTAACAAACAAATATACTTTCGGTTACTGTAGAAGGATTTTTCCTGGAATTTATTGTCATTGAAAAGATATTTTAGCTGTTGAAAGTAAAACATCGTGAAAAAGATAGATTTTATTTTCACTAATTTATTTCTTCAGCGAAAATCTCGAAAATAAATTACTCTACAGTACCACCGTTTATTACAGAAATTGTCAACAATAAGACAATAACGTAACTGTGTAAGGACAACTAGACTCTATGAATTAGTAAGTTCCTTAGGCTTAAATTTTGTTTTTACCCATGATGCAATGGAACGTCAAAGGTGACTTTGAACGCTGTTAACCTAATGTGCTGCAATTTTCACTATGTCACGTGCATTTTCTTGAGATTTGTGATTTCATAACTTAGTATAATTCCATTAACATTAACACATAGTTCTTTTTACTTGAAAAAATTCTGTTCAAATTGGAATGAAATTACAAACTATTGCTTGTTGTAAACAATGAACTGGCTTATCGTGGAATTTGAATAATCCAAGGTGACAACTAAGTTGACTTTTAATAACATGTTAATTCTTCATTGTTGCAACGTTACGGTGACGTACCGTCTGAAGCCCAATCCAGAGCACGTAACTGCATGACTGAACCTGGCATTGGAACAGCTTTACCCCAAGCACCATACATTGAACAACTGCCTTTTCTGTAAACAATAGTTGACACATTATGGCACCAATGCGCTTTTATTTTTTATTATTGCTGTCAGAAGGTTGAAGTAAAATATGTTTTTCTTTACTTACGTCAATTCTCCCAACATATGAATCCTCTCTATTTTCTGAGAAATACAAACAAAATTGAGTGCTATGTGTGTACTTATTATTATGTAATATAATAATAATAATAATGGAAATGGTTTCCGCAATATTTTAATAAATGGACAATGAGATGACAGGTGCATGTATACATAAATACATACATATACTTACCTTCACATCGACCCCAGATGCATCAGATATACCTTTCATCTCCTCGTCAAAGTAATCAGCTATGAAATTGAACATAATTTATTATTTTAGACAGTATTATGAACGTTTTTGATAACACGCGTTAGTTATTTTAATTGCGTAAAAAAAAAACTGTACTAACGTGTAAATGGTTTGGTGGCCGCTCTCTCCAAATCAAGCGCAATGTCTAGCCTTCAAAAAAAAAAATAATTAATATATTTTGCTTTTGAGCGTCTGACATAATATATAATATTGTGTATTCGTTATACCTTACCCCAAATCAGCGACATCCTTCAGAAACCACTCCTGGAAGAATCCAGGAAGAGTACCATTAATGGCGTCTGTCTAAATTGAAAAGAAAATGTACATAAAACAATTAATAGTATTAGTAGGATGTCGACGTAATGAAACGATACCGTATAAGTCAATAGAAAAATGCTGTTCATTCACAGTGAGATTCTTTTGATATTTAAACCATGTCTCGACCGCCGGACCAAAATATTTTATTATATAAATTATATTGTAAATTCAGCTTATCTCAGATAGTGGCATTCTGACTTACCACCTGTTTTTCTAAATAACCCCACACTTCATTCAATAAGTCTGTGGCTTCGTCTTTTAAAATGGTCCCATGGGCGTATCCCATCTCATATGGAGTGCCTACCAGATTTTTAAAATGCTGAATTATGTACAATGCATGGTTTGTTTTGACACCGTGAAGAATGTGCTATTACTGAAATCGTCTAAACATGTAAAGACACATTGTTGTCTTACAAATAAAATACTAAGTTTTCACGCTCATGAAGTACAAGTTTTTCAATCTAAGCGATTTAGTATTATGCAGCTTAGAAGGACATTGGTTGTCTTCGAATTTCATGTAGATGTATACGTCGCTATGAGTCCCATATCGAACAGGACGCGGCGCGACGACTGCCACCATTTAAACAAACGAATATCAATTATTTTTTATATTACATGGGGATGTTGAATTATATACTATAGATACTAATTAATATAGCTCTTTAAAAAACACTCAAATAGTTTTAAAATATCTGGTCATTGCCCAATCAAATATGATTGGAAATCTGTGTATCTGAATATTAGTCATTTTGCCAGGTAAAATAGATCATTTTAATTTCACCTAGAAATTAATGAAGGCAACAATTAATTATATGCAACCATAAATAAAATACATTATTTATATATTTGTGCACAAATATCAAGTTTAAAATTGAGAAATAATTGCAGATACAATAAATGATTCTATAATAGTATTTATACTGAAATGACTATTAACCTTACCCCATAGATGCAACACTTTTATGACGTCATCTCCTTTGCCAGCGGTATACAGCTTTGCATTTTTTATCTGCTTCACAAACACTGGTGGACCAGTTTGGATGGGGTTATGATTTGGTTTGGCGTGTGGGTCAGGCTATGAAATACACAACAACAATACATTCAATAAAGTAGTATTCATTATATATTCTACAATGTATCTTTTTTCCAGCGCCATCTAGTGGTCATCTATACATGGTGTGGTCAGAGGGCGCTGTCGTAGTCTCCGTCCACCTCGATCGCACAATCATCTAACACATCTTCGTACACAACGTAATTAACTCATTAGCTAAAGCCGTAAACCACGTTGCTTGATTGATATATTTGTACCACTTGCCGGTATATAATCAAATATATTGTACAGTCCTATGAGGAAGGCAATCATGGGAAATAAAACTGGTTATTGACTGAACTACTCACCTTTGCATGACAGCTAAAAACGAACACGACGACCAGCGTCGCAATGAATGTTACTCTGCCAGCCATTGTGGTTGCATGTTTGTGTTGATCGATGACCGATATATGAGACGGGTCAAAGTTTGGAGTCCTACTTCTTTATCACCCGATCCTAGCATGCGCATCAGTCGACAGATAAGGCCACGCGTTTTAGGAATTTCGTTTGCCGATCTAATATTTGACGATTTAAAAAGTAATACTGACTACTGACTGATATTAATCCGACGACGATTTTTTTTGCGAATCCGATTTATTCATTTTATTATGGATTGTTAATTTATTTTTTTTATGTGCAGGCAGGTAATCGTTATTCAAAATCGCCCATAATAAATATTTCGTGGATATGTATCATACGTATCACTGGTCGATTTCCTCCGTGCGTTCCCACTTACATCACTTCTGTCATATATAGTCATGGATAGTTAATTTACCCACACCAAATGTCAGCTTTGTGTGCAGCACTCATTTAAATGAATTACATTCACGGATCCGAGGGATAGGATATGGTTTACTTATTGCATATATCCTATTGACAACACTCAAAGTAAGTTTCCAAGCATATTTAAAATAAAACCGAAAAATAAATAAATAAAATAAAAGTAGAATAAAATATGAAAAGCATAAGAGTTTAAAGCCGTTTTGCATAACGCTTTGTTTAATGTATAATTTTGTAATAACAAAAGAATATGTTTTCAAGTAACCAAATCTTTAGAATGTATAAATTCGACACATCTGAAAACAAGTGAGTGAATCCATTGAGTGTAAGTCGAGTAGTAATTTAAATTGATCATTTTAATGTCAGAATTAGAACAAAGAATAATACCAATTTAAATATTGATAGATGGATAGTGCAGTCGCTGCACTGATTCTGTTAATAGTGAAGTCTTCTGTGACCAATGTTTTGACGACCAGTAAA